ACTGCAATGACCTGGCAGGCCAATCGGGCCATAACATCGATCCCCGAGGTTTAGCCATGCCAAGAATGAACGGGTGAAGTTATAGTGCTCATTGCAACAGTATCTCCCTCTCTCAAAAATTACTTCAAGCATCAACATTAAATTATTTCGAGAATGGAGGGGTTAAAAAACCGAAACGAACCAGTCCAGGCAATCACGTGATTTAGGCTGTCAGGTCAGTGGGCTCGGCCAAACAGGCTTGAGAATCGAGAGTCAACTGTCTGATTACAGTCAACCCTAAGGCCCAAGATGAGACTAGAGGCACTGAAGCTCCGAAAAATCTAACAGTAGTTAGTAACTTCAAATTAAAAAGTGTGAAGACGCACCAACTCTAAATAGTAATGTAAAATGCGTGGATCACTCGTAACATGGATAGAATTAGCATATACGAAAGACACGCAGTCCTTGTAGCCAAATAGGTGAAAGACCATCGTGGTGGCCTAGCTGCGATCGGCGGAGGTCTGTTACGAAATCAAGAACGATTCATCCTACAGGTCTGTGACTTCACCGGATAGTCACGGAGGATATGGAGTCGGACTTGCAGCGACTGGTCATGTGTGTGGCGAACATGTTAGCTGAAACGAGTGACACTGGGCTGGGTATAATGGATCTACAGCCCCTGCTGTCAGGAGCACTTTTTGGCACTTTTGTCACTATGTACTGTCATGGTGTCCTGTCCGGAGAATGACCAATTCGATTCCTACCAGCCACTGCCAACTGTCACCACCTCTAATCGCCTAACTGATGGAAGGACGCCCGTAACTTTTCGGAGGTATCCAAGATTTGGAAGTGGCTAATCACTGTCCGATCACGTGACCTCGAGGAAAAGTGGCGTGCGGTACCGGTTGCAACACGGATTGTGCATCAGTGTGATCCAAAGTGCAACTGATCGTAAATACGCCTGCTCATTGTGGGACGAGTTTACTGTTAACCAGTCTCGATGTAAAACAGCTGCCGGATCAGTCGCCAGTCGCGGAAAGCTTCACTCACAGACTGACCAGTTGAAACCGACTGTGACTGATAACACTGAGGACAAAAAGCCTTCAGGGTAATCTTATGAGGATAAAACAATTAGACCTTCCCGGGTCGATGAGAAAAACAAGATAGTTCATGAACCATCAGATGCGATAACACAAAATGATCTTTGCAGCGTGATAAACAAATATAAAAACCATCTACGCCGACTGAAGTGAACGACTTTCATTATTACGAAGGTTGACCATGTCACGAGGAATTCTGAAAGGAATCCGTCATTCCAATGCATCCAAGGTACCTGGACGGGCCGAATGCTCAATGAGCACATATCTCAACACCGTTTACCGGTCAATCTGACTGGAGGTCGAACGATCTTTCGAAATCACCTGCGAAGGTCAAACTTCAAACAAGTGAATTACGAAACGAAGAAGCTGCCCGCGATGGCAGATTACCCGTTGGTAACGAAGGGCAAATATTTTTGGCTGATCTGCACAATATGGAGAAATGCAAAAATGACCTACATGGGATCAATGCTTCAAATGTCACGAGAAATGAAAGCCACATCACTCTCGTATGAAAGGTCGTATTCTTATTCTGGCGTCATTATTCCGGTGAGTCCACACCAAAGGGAAGCACTGGACTCGAGTTTCGCTCTTATTAGAACTCATTAGCAGTGCATATCCGATGGCCATGCGGGGATTCGAACCCCAGACATCTGACATGCGAGGTGAGCGTGTAGCCACTAACCCACCAACACACGTTGGACGCATCTAAACTTTCACTTCTGAACGGGCGTCCAACGTTCGTTGGTGCAGTAGTGGTTACACGCTCGCCTCGCATGTCAGATGTCTGGGGTTCGAATCCCGGCACTGTCCTTGGATATGCACTGCTGATGAGCTCTAATAGGAACGAAACTCGAGTCCAGTGCTTCCCTTTGGTATGGACTCACCGGAACGATGACGCCAGAACAAGAATACTACCGTTCAAACGAGAGTGGCGTGACTATGACCAAAATACCTATCCCGCAAAACCCCAAAATGCAAGTCGATGGAAAATAGACAACTGTCAATGAATAGGTCTTCTTGGCGCTGCAAGAAAAACCTCGAAATTTATCTTTCCCACGATGATATTCTGAGGAGAGCTGTCCTTGAAGATCACTGAGGAGTTTAAAGCAGACAGAGCACGACCGACCTTGTCTTTGCAGCGCGCCAGCTACAAAATGAATCTCGGTGAAGTGAACAGGCCTTGTTTTGTATAGCTCACCATATCGTTTGACTCTGTATAAAAGATTACGCTGTGGATCGTTCCACAAAAGCTCATCTATCTCGAAAATCTAGCACCATATTAAAGTATTTTTTTCTTTCAAAGCACTGGCCGTAGCACAGCTTTTCGGCGAAGATTTCGGCCACCTCGGTAGTGCACAATCAGGACTTCGGCAAGTTGAGTGCACCCTCGGGACGCTGAACCAAGTGCTACAGTTGTTCGCCCACAGCCTGCGAGTGTGTGACGAGATTAGAGTTTACTGATCCATCTTACCACGTTCGCTACTGTGTGGCAGTGGAACAAGAAGACTACACCGAAACCACATTGGAATTCCTGAAAAACCTCACTTATACCGCCCACGCAAAACTTCTTTGACGACGCGGTTAGCACTTACCCCGAGCACTACAGTTCTTAGAAGAGTCCAAACCGACGTAATCTCATGCGTTTTGGTGCAAATCCAACCACACTGGGTAGCCAATGTAGGACGAATATTCCGTGATCCCACCCCAGGGCAACTCGTTTACGGTCAGTCGAAGAATGGTGCTCGAATGCGAGAAATGCCGTTGTGCCACCCGGTCCCCGTTTGGTGAGCAATCATGGCACATTATCGATCAGCTACCGATGATGAGGTTAAGTTCACCTACTGCCGGTTATTTTCAGCTGAGCATGTCGATTCACATCACGCTGTTTTGTAACTCAGAGGTTCAGGTGCAGCACAATCAGTTGCCTGAGCACATCACAAACGAGAGATTCAGCTGGGTTCCAGGTGAGTCTCTCGAAAAACCAAATTAGTTTGCAAATGAGTGTATATTCGCTAATTTCAATGAATCTCATCTGTAAGTTTGAAAACTGAACTCACATTTGGACAGTGGGCGACGTTTTGGTCTTCCGTTTAATGAACCTTATCAAAACTTCTTCTGCAATACCCTTTCAGTGGTATTCTCCGAGAACACCGATGGTCACCGGGCTTAGAGGGACACAGTTAAGCACGACACCAGAAGTTTTGCTCGTGATGCTTTTAACCGCGTACGCGCAGACTTCCCCTTTGATGCAAGACGCTGTATCCAATCGCACTTCGTGCTTAGGCAATCTCAGGGTTGTCAACCAAAATTGAAACCTTTGTATTGACAGAGATGTGTACTGGAATCAGAATGCTCATGAAATGGATGAAGCCGGTGCGGTTCAGAGTGTATGGAAGGTGTCTCAGTAAGGAAACTCCGATCAACAATAGCAGTCATTGTTGGTAGGGCATTTTATGATTTCGTGATCTTCTTTGTCTGTACTTCAGCCCTATTCATCCTAGGTCCCACATCTATTTAAGCAGTACAACCATGAATTACTGTCTTGATGAGTCACCAGGCTGACGGACAGTATGTTTGCACCTGTACTGCTCAGAGAAAATGATGGCTGTCACTGTTTTACTTTGATTCAACCGTTTCTTGAAACATTAACTCCGATTTCCGGGCACTGATGCCAACAAATTATCGGACCTTTATGCGAAAAACGTATCCGAGTTGACTGTTCCAACCAGATAGGTAGAAGCCTCACACCTGTCATCCCGCAGTTACTAGCTCCCCGGTTACTGTGGCGCCCAACTCCGGCAAGTGAGATGCGAATGCAAAAGTGGCAAGCAGATGAGTTCCGACTTTATCAAGTCTTCTCCCCACAATGTCGAATACTTGCAAAGTGCAATGTACATCACCGACCAGCAGTCGCTGTTTTGCTTGAAGATAGAAAGGGCTTTAACTCAATGCAGAAAATGGCAGACAGAGATGAAGGACCTCGAAGTTCTTCAGTGTAATTTTTATCCTTTATCCAGAGATCGGTGCCGTAGGAGAGCTTGCAGCAGAGTTTTCAAATTTTTTTGGACAACTGGTTACAAAGTGCATACTCTAACGGTGGTCCAAGCGCCCACACTGGAAAAAATAGGGGAATAGGATTATGCGGACGAGATCATTTTGTGATCTGATGTTCATTTGTCAGCATGACGTTCCCTCGATAGAATCCCAGAAGCGCTCGCGTCTTTTGACGAACTGTTTTTACATACTTTTCAACCCTCTTGTTTCCCTTTGAAACCTCAATGTGGTAACCGTTGGAATCAGGGCGAATATGAACACAGCTCGAGTAAATTTTGTCAGTGTGCGTCACTTGTGGCGTCAAAAAAAGGACGAACACAACTCTAGGAGCAGTCTTCGTTTTTGGTCATAACACTTGGCCTGTGCAACCTAAAGAAAGCGCTAAAACGCTGACCGCGCCTCTGTAGTACGACTGGCTGCAACGTGTACGCAAAAAATGATGCTTAAACAACATCAAAGAAACAACAGAAGGACAAAAGATACAACAACTGTCAGGTTTATCGTACTTATTCGGGACCTCACGAAACGCTATGGAATGTTTCAGGCCTCCTGGATGCGGTACATAGGACACGAAACGAAAACAAGTACAGTGGCGCGTTTATACCATCAGTTTCTAGCCGGACTACGGAGCAGACGTTTATCTTTCGTGAAGTGTTGAGCAACGGTCTTCAACGGATTCTGGGTGGTTGATGTCATCTTACTCCAATATAGTTCTCTGATATGCGAATCCCATTATTGTTCCAAGGAACAAATGCCATTTTGTTTATCGATTTCACAAAGTACATGGCTTCGTTTTACTTCCTTCCCCTTACTGCCGTTTTAGCAGGGCGGTCAATCATTGTATTCTACCATTTATTAGTTCCTGTCCACGATAATGAGACCAAATGGACACCGTATTGTCCAACTTCGTTTTTAAAATATCCAAGTGCCGGAAACGTATAGGTTGAAAAGCTCTTTTGAGTGATGATACAAAGGAGAATACGAATGAAATAATATCGATCGACAGCTGAATAGTTACTGGTTTAGATAAAACAAGAAAATAAGAAATGTAACTGTTCCTGACTGCGGTCAGAGACCCACTGAGAATGGTATGCAGAACCACGAAGGCAGCAAAATACATGATAGAATATTGGTCAAAGGTAGAAATGGAGGAAGTAAGTAAGTCTTCTCATAACCCCATTCTGTTTTGCGTGGAAAAAAAATCGATTAAACGTTGTCACCTGACAACAAATATCATCCATAATAAACCCATCTAATAGAAAACGCTCAAAAATATGGGACGCACTCGCGTAGGTGCCATTTCTGAAAGCAAAAGATCTGGATGCCACTTACAGGTGGGGGTAAATACCGGGAATTCATAAGTTTCACTGCATTTATAAATCTGTATTTTAGTGGAATGGAGACGAGCATCAACCTGCAAAATGTGCAGGTGATGAGTGGTGCTGGTGAAGTTCAATCAAAGTCACGATACGCCCGTGGCACTGGATTGTAAAGACACATCCGAAGTTGTGGTACACATCGACAGCGATGATACGGGAGTACAGTTTCATTTCGTGTGCTGATCATATTCGCAAAGAACCACTCGTTGCAACCGATCGATTGACAGAGTTCAAAGCACAATTTGGCCGTGGGGACGACGCACAAAAAGGTGCCGGTTTCTAGAAAATATGCAGGAACAGAAAAACAGTATAGGTCGGGAGTAGCTTCCGCCATTCAAACGTGGAAATTCTTTAATTAATCAAGTTTGATTTTGATTAGTACTAGCGCGCCTGGTTATTATGTTTTTACTTCTACAACATTTGTAGTTCTGCAAGCACAGAAAAGGGGGTGAGATGGTCCAAGTGTGTAGAGTGAGAGTTTACTGACCGGAAGGTCCGTGGTTCGAACCCGACCACTTCCTCACGACTCCCCTGTCTAGGCTTGGGCAACCTGACAGTATCCCAGCCCTCGTGCTACATTCGGGTGGCGTGGCAATTAGGCACCAAAAGGGTGCTGCAGCAGTTACGTTTGTAATAACCGTTTATTACCAGTTTACTGTTACTTCTATTCAAAGTTTTTTTGAACAAGTATACACAGATGCAGGATATTTTTGTCATTGATACATAGCCATACAACTGTAGCACCCTTTTGATGCCTAGTTGCCGTGTAAACAGAGGGAAGACACGAGGACTGAAATACTGTCAGTCAGCATGCCATGGTTGGATTAGAACCAAGAAACTTGCGGCCCGCAGTTTGGTACCCAAGACCAATGAGCTATCCTGAACTCCTTCGCTATATACATCTACTCCTATATATTTATATGTATGTATTGCCATATATAAGTTGATGAGTTTAGACGCTTTGAGAAACGTGCCGATATATCACATGCCTCAAGGAACACCCACTACCCTCTGCATCTCCGTCGGGAGCGGCGCGGAATTCGTAAGCATGCTTGCTGGTGTGAACCGGTGGCTAATGGTTATAAACAGTCACCTCGAATCACACTAATACGTCATAATGGATCAATAAATGAACATTTGTGTTGTGGTGAAGTAAATTATACACCTGTGAGAAAAATTCACGGCAACGTTTTTCTTGAAAGCACACTACTAATAGACGAAGGCGAACGAGTTTCATACAGCCGGTTGAAGCAATATAAGGTGTTAAACTCAGATTTTAAGGGAATATTTATTAGAGAAGCTAATTCATAAGGTAGGAAAACCGCTGCGAAAAATTTGACTGGCAAATCAAGGTAACATTACGTGGCTTCACGTTTTTTAGTATTATGAGGCAGCCCGCCCAATGTTTTTGCAGTGTTTACATGTTCGCCCCTCCCTTAGCACGCCTTTGTGTTCCACGGGCTCACAACTAGATTCAATTCAGGAAATCAATATAGTAACTTCACGTGACAGAATGGACGTCGATGCAACGGTGAATCGATCGGTTGAGATGTAGCAGCCCCCACCACTTTTATTGTTCGCATCAAAAGTTTGTGGACCAATGAGAATTTGCACAATCCATAAAATAAAAAATGCCGTAAACCTAAAATTTATTTATTCGTTTCAGTCACCGGGATGGTGTATTGATTTTCAACTAATTTCCCATTGGGAGAAATATTCGCTTCACTCGAGGGATATTAGAACTGCGGTCGCTAGTCATTTCTTTTACCCCCAAGTCCTCGCGGCTCTCCACGATTTCAAGTGAATTTTGATGTCTATGGTGAGAACAAGCGAGTCCTCAGTAGATGTGTTGCACTGTCGGGTAAATTCCTGACCAAAGTAGTCACACTGTTAGCAAAATAAGTCTGTAGATTTAGAAATCAAAACAGTTGATACAATCACCAATTTTTATACAGAAACGAAAGAACATTCTACTTAAAAGAAGTGAAACTTAGCGCCTCACAATGAAACACTATTCCTAAGATCGTTGAAAACTTGTTATAACTTTATTGTGATCCTCCAGTTAGGCCCATTCCTCTAATTCCCGTCAACCGTATGTTCCACCTGAACTTACATTGCACACGATTCGATAATTTGATTTGGTTTTCACGTGAGATCCAATGGAATCCCGGCTGAGTCTCAGCTGAGTATGTTGTCCCAGTTCGCAAGTGCATTACGAGAATAACCTTACTTCTTACTTACTAAACTATCGATCACTGACTTCTATTTTAGCTACATAATAATGGTGTGAACTGTCACGCCAAATAAGTAGTTGCGGCCCCAACCGTAAATAAGTAGAGGAATGAACGGCTGTGATGGAAGGAAAACACAATAATATCAGGGATACGTTGATAATGACAATAATTATAACATAACGTGCTTACATAATAAGGATGCCGCAAGAAATAACATATTATATTGTATAACATTACATTATATTTGTATTACATTATATTGTATTATGCATATAATATATGCTATAATATATAATATACGTATAATATATAATATATAATGTATAATATATAACATACAATATATAATATATAATATATACTAATATATGATATAATGATATATAAAACATGGTAATATACATATAATTATTATATTAATGTATATATAATTATAATGTAACGGTAGCATAATAATAAAATATAATACCATATTAATATATAATATGACAGTATGACAATAATACAATAGGTCAATGGAGCTATTGTATTACCAAGCTATTTGCAGTAGCTTCACGACATGACGTTCGGAGCACACTGTTGAAAGTTTCTTGATGGAATGTCACCAGGTATAAACCAGGTAATGTTCTTATTTCTGTGTCCCTTAGACGCCTGTATTTTTGCTGTTTGTGGGCTGAGTTAAAGGCACTAATTTGACACCCAACGGACCAGATGCTCCACGATGCTTGCGGGAGAAAAGGTACTTACTCATTTGAAGTCCACTATCTGTTGCGATGCTCAGTATTCGCACAATGGAAGTGAATTTTCAAAAGCTTTGACGTATCTCTGATAGACTAAAGCAATCAAGCAACTGAGTCAAAGTACCAAGTCCAAACTTTTGAGCTCCATTTAGGCATACCGGAGTCTCGGCGACGCTGAGAAGTTATTCAACCAGAGTTTTCCGCCAGAGATATTATTGCTTCAGTGGAAAATGAAATTCAGTGAGCTGCAAAAATATGAGCGCAGATTACGATGATTTTTGGTTTGAGCACATACGCACTAAAATGCCACATTTTGGCACAAAACATTTTATCCCACACGCAAAGGCTTTGCAGCTAAGACCATTGTGCGGCTAATGAGCCCCGTCCGTTGACTGAGCAAATGCAGGTGATCGGTTGAATCGTTAGTGAATTGCTTTAAAGACGCTAACTTTCTTGCGCCCACTGGCGATGTCCCTCTCATCGTGATGAAAGGCTTCGCAAGCTAATTACCAACCTCGGAGAACAGATAAATAACCAATAAACCCACTCAAATTACCAATATTTAGACATATTTTTAAAGTCAATTGTTTTCAGTCGCTTGTGCAGTGACGGTAACGGCAAATGCACGGGTCGGTTGGAAATTAAACTGCAATATGTTTCGTCTAACACCTCTCTCTATTTTTGCGAGTGACCACAACCTAACTAAATTTCAAGATCCAGTCAGTATATGATGACTTAATGTGAGCTTCCGTTATTGAATGATAAGTGACGCTTTGTCCTGTTTTAGTGAGATGTAATCACATTGCTGATGAGTCCCCCATGGCCGAGCGCACTGCTGGTAATTCTAAAAGAGGATGAAACAGTTGTACGGTACTTCTCGGCTTAGAGTAGCTTGACTTACAGGATAAAGTCCCTATTGAATTTTACGTGTCCACACCAGACGAACAGTGTTTTCACGACCACGAACTTCGTTGATAAAAAATCTAGTAACTTTGGTGTCCATGGAACCTTTCCGTATGCATAACCATAAAAGAACAAATTCTTCGCAGCGGGACGTTGATAAGAAATTATTAGAAGTATGCTCAAAATGATGGAAGAATTTTGATTGCAACCGAAGGGCTGACTCAAGAGATGAGCTATTCTCAGATGGGACAGCAGAAAACATCAAAGAATATTGCCCAATTCATCTACCAGTGCAACATCCAGGCTCGTAGTCAAAGCAAGCTTTCACTTAAATGTTCCGTCCGTCTGAAAATTAGTCCCATACTCGAAAGTAGTCCAAACTGGAAAGAGGGGAGGTGTTGTACCGAAGGACTCTGTTCTATCTGATAGGTGTGTGCGTCACTCTGTGAATTTATCTGAGACTTTACCCCATTACATTCACGTTGAACAATGGGGTTAACTCGCGTTTGGACACATCCGTCTTCAAGGAAGTAGTCAAGAATCGATTAAACGATATGATTGGTGCAAGTGGGGGATGACGGAGTTAGATTCAGGCTGAGTAAAAGTACACTACTAGTCAGTCGCCAATCGGAAGATTGATGGTTCGAACATTCCGACGCATTCATAGAATATGCACTGCGCTCGAAATTTCCAACAAACGTAAAATCTCTCTAATTTACTATTTGGTGATATCACTAGTGAGATGTGGTCTAAATCGAGAACTCTGTCCAAAATTTCCCATCTACTAATAAACAGTAAAAGTACAGATATGGCCAAGCTATCAGTTAAAATCCTTTTGGTTTCGTATTGCTAGTGACTTACGAGGCGTGGATTATCAAGGACACAAATCTAAAGCATTCTGATTTTGTGTAGCGATTTCGCGAAGCCCGGTTAAAGTTGATTCGACTGATTCACGCCCTTTCTTGTAATGCGAGCTCTTACAAATGTGACCGTACAACATACTTGGAATCTCAGAGGTAACTCTGTGTGAAAACACCGCTTCCTAATCCCTTATTGCTTTTTTAAGATTCCCTATATATAGGACAAGTAGGTTGTGGGAGCATCATACCAAGGAGTAAAAAGTAAAATCGGAGTCGATCGATATTTTTTATTTAGTTATGTGTTATTTTTTAGTTAGTTAGTTAGTTAGCTGGTCAGCTAGTTAGTTAGTCAGTCAGTTATTTACTTAGCTGATTGGTTAGTTATTTAGTTACTTACTTACTTACTTACTTAGTTATTTAGTCGGTTAGTTGATTAATTAGTTAGTTGGTACGCCAAAGTTTTCCTCTCCACTTGAACGATGGATTCATATGTGTGACATTCAGTTTGTTTGATGGAGGTCTGTCATAATTTGAGTTTTACTTGCCCATACATGGAGCTCAATGAAATTGAAGATTGTATTCACGAGTTATTTGGCAATAACAACGGAAATGTGTTGCTATCGCTCTTTGTAGAGAAAACACTGCTTGCCAGACTAAACCCCCAGACAACAGAGGCCAAAAGTCCAAAATTCTAAAGAACAACTTTGAATTTCCTTTTGGGTTTCCTGGAACACCATGTACACAGAACAAACGTGCATTTTACCAGATGATAAATGTATTTTTTGAAACACTTTTTGTCGGTTCGTTTTTCATTCAGTCTTGGTCGAATCCGATCAAACCTCAAACTACTCATGAGTGACTAAATTAATATCTTTTGGTGAACTCCTCAGAGGAAAGTTTACATTTGTAGACTAACTAGGTAGGAAAATCGCCCAAAACTTACTTGGGTCAAATCGATAGTCTTCATCCGGACAACTTTTGGAGAACTTCATTGGATATCTTCTGAGACCAGCTTCTGTTTGAAATTTTAAACAGAAATGAGTTTTTTTTGAAATTTGCGTGCCAACTCAGTGAGACTGCAAACACAACGCAGCGACGTTCAGTTCCCAAAACACAAGATGTTCAACACGGTATGAGTAAAATTCATTTCTCAGGTATTAGTAGTCCTTTATCATATTCTGATGACAACATACCAATAACGAGAATTTGTAATAGATTTAACAGACCAGGCCAGAAAATCCTTGTGGGCGATAAACAGCGCTGACCCCATTGAGTCACGCCATAAGATCTCTCTAAATCAGGAGGTGAATCAAAGATACTAAGTGTGTGGTTGTGCGCAAACACGTGAACGGGATAGATTAAAGAATATATATTATTTATTTTATTACTTGGCATTCGATTTCAATTTTTGCTAATACGACACTAATTCACCTCATCTGTAGCTAATAATTGATGATTGAACAGAAGAAACTCTAGCTTGAATATCAAAATATTTTTCGTCAGTTAACCGCCGTCTATTAGTGTGTTTGAGAAATACGAAACAGAAGGCTCTGTTACACTGTTAATGGCAACCTGTTGCTGAATCTCAAGAAACCTTGCACGGAATACCGCAATATACTGAGCTAATAGCTGCCTCTTGATGTTATTTACCTGGACTGCTTTGCAAATGGGTCAAAAGATGTCGTTCAGATTACACCTTTTGATTGATAATTTTGAACAAGTGTGAAATAAAATAACACAAGGAGTCGAAGAGTCTAAAAAACCACAGTTGAATTCCTGAACTGGGGGCAAGCGATAACAAATCAAATCAGATCGACAGGTGACAATCACATAACTTGATTCTGAGCAGTGCCCGAACTGTTTTCCTGTCATTTAAGGGTAGGGCTTCCCTGATTACAGCCGATTTTAGAACAATCAGAATCAATGTGAGTAAATAATAGGGAGGGATAGAGAGGGGAATCTTTCAGTCCGTTCGAGGGGTTCAACTCTGTAAGCAACAACTCTCATACCAGCATGACTTTTATCTCCATCGTAAATGAACGTTTATAACAATGAAGGTGAAATGATAAAACAATAAGTACTCACGCATTGCGCTAGTGAAGCTCCAGTAAAAGACTATGAATAGTAGGGGGCCTGTCGGCAGTCTCATAGATGCCTATGACTGTGAGATCACGTGAACACGGTTTTGTTCCTCAGACAGAGTATAATCCACGAAAACGTTTGAATGTTGAGTGTAACTCAGACGAATTATTTCGAAGCTTTATTTCGGACGGAATCGTTCGACGACTTGATCGGTTCTTCCTGGATGAAGAGGCATATTTATACTGTTTTGCCGAATGGTTCGAAACGTATCCACATTTCATCCGGGTGACCTTGGGAACGTTTCCCAAACAGTGAACATGTGGGATGTACAAGGGTGGGGGCCGATGGAAGAGGAAAAAACTGGTGACTGATTAGTCTTTGGAGTAGCTAGTTTAGACACAAGCTTTGCTACCGCAGGCATCATTAGCGTATTAAATTTTTCTGTTGATTGGTCCGTCTGCACATGACGGCGAGTAACCTTGTCTCCCAACCGACCAATCAGAATTCAGAAACGGTATGGTCCAATGAGATTTCTGATTTGTTCGGGGGACAGCTTGGAAAGGTATCCAGATGGCAGAATTGCGTGGTGACCCATGGACTAAGGCAGAGAAAGTTAATGTCGTAAACAGTTTTATCTGGACGAAGAAAATTACGCCTAAATGACGGTGGAATTAGTTTTGTGTTTTCACCACGCTAACGAGTGATTCTGCTCACCATAAAATGGATTAAAGTTACGTCGTGAGTAGTTTCCACGTCACGAGGGCTTTCCCCAGTGTAGCTTTCGGTTAAAAACAGTTCTGAAAGTTATTTATTGGTCCGGAAGAGTATACTGCGAACTGTAGATAATGCTGGTAAGATACTCTACTGCAGCTGGGAGTGAGGTTACCAGGTCAGTGGAAGACGTACATCGTTAATAATGGCTTATTAACCACCACGACTAAGTCTTCATCAAAAAAGTTGTTGCATAAACTGAGTAGATGGGAAAAAGATAACCCTGAATGCTAGCACACAATTTACTGGTCACGCATAAATAAATGCCAATCAAATGAAATACAAAAATCTCACCAGATGCCCTGAAGGCAGAACACGGTCCATCGAGGATAAGCCGTTCTCTAGGTGCTTGCGATCGATTATCAAAGAATAAGTGCCCCAGTACTCACAAGGACTTTACTTACTAAGTTTATCGGATGTTTTATTCGCGACCTGGAACCATGGTGACTCAATGTGCCTCAATGTCTTCGACCACTCACCTGTCACTCCATGTGATGATAACCGCTGCGATCTCCTCCGTTCACTCGGAAACAACGAAGAGGTAACCTCTAGTTGATTCGTTTCGTTATCCTTTCGCTTATGAAATGTGAATCACCTAAAACCTCTCTAATATTTAATGGAAACGATGAAACTGAAAAGAATGGTTCGATGAAACCCAAGTTACCTCAATGTCTGTACCACTAGCTACAATTCATAGGTTCAATTTCGTCCTGCATACAAGACAATCCAGGGTTAAAAATCCGAGAAAATGCAAAGCAATGTTCTTGTTGTAAACTGTTGCCAAATTCTAGACTGTCCCACAAGCACGATGCTCGCTCCGTAGCTGGAGCATATCAAGCACCAGTGCGATCTATCAGAATCTAATTAAGATGCAGGTATCTCACATCCAGTATGGTATTGACTGATCTAGCCGGTGAGAGTCCATCAAAACAAAGGTGTTGGGACACACGCGGTTGAATAGGTAGCTTAAGCTGTTTTTGTTCGACCAAGTGAATATTTTTTTTTCAAGGTAGAGACAACATTTGTGTTTGTTGCTTAGGTTTGTAATGTCTGGATTGCAAGATGTTGGGCAAAATACACTAGCTGTCCGTGTTGCTGAACAGGTCGAGTTGAAGTTAACGAAGGACTTTGACGGGAACAGGTGCTCTGAGGAGTGGTCTTTAAGAACGGAACGAAGAGTGGAATCTCTCCTGGATCCGAATTCGGCGCAACATGTCACGATGCAACTCCAGACGACTGTGCAATCTTCCAGGAAGGATTTTTTAGTAACTACTATTTAGCAGTCTTGTACTGAGTTTAACCCCCACTGAAAATAAAGTCCTACTCATCCCGGACACCTCTGATTTTGAGTAGGAGATCAGGTTTGCTCTTTGAAGCGATGTGCCCGTAGATGCCAGTGTGGTTGTGTTGACATCGTGCTTGGGGGCCTCATCCCCCCCATTGTGACCTCAACTCACAGCTAGCCCCATATTAATATAAACGTCGTAAGCTTAAACAGAAATCAACCAAAGAAAAAACTGGTGATATATTTTTTACAAGAAACTAAATTGTTGCTATTTGAAAATCGACTTTCTTCTGAGCTCCAATTGGTTCCAATTAAAAAACAGTTGCATTTTGTAACACAAATTTTCCAGACATCTCCAAATTATCATTCAGATGGAAATAAATGCACCTGAATTCCACCTCAGCTTCTACCTGGTGTATTCTGCTTCTAAACACCTGATGATCGCTACCTTGTGTCCGCACCGAGATGGCACCGTAGCCAGCAAGAACCTCCGGCAGTGTTGACGGAGGAACCGATAAATTCTGTCCTGAAAATACTGTACACCGGTTTATGCAAAACATGAAAGTTAATTTTTATCAGGATAACGAATGGAATATACCGTTGCACCGCAACAAGTAAATCCAATCTATGTTGATAATCTGGGAATCACGGTACACCTGTTTCATCCTTATTGGAGAACATTAGGAGTGTGAATCTCACGAAACTCCAGAAAGTCTGGAACTCACGAATTCCCGGCCACCAGTTTAGATGCATGATTTTTAGGCTACTGGCAGTGTGATTGGCTGATATTCGGACAAGTGTAAGCTGGTAATCTGCAAGCACCATGATCATATTCTTTGAAAAATACACCCTACAGCAGAGTGGCATCTTATGACAGCAACAGTCTTTGAGACATATATTCTGATGGTTCGACTCAAAGTGGTCTTCGCTGAGGAAACGCCCATCTTTTGAGCTACCTCAACTGGGAATTGCTCCATAATAGAGTAAATCTATCCTTGTCCAAAAGATCACTTTTAGTAAGACGGTCTTTAAGAAGAGAAAACTTTATGTCACGAGACACCTTCTGCTATAATCATTTTCTAACGTTTCTTTGAAATCCGCTTGGGATCCCTTATTTATGAAGCATTTGTGGCCGTCGCGCGAATTCAAACTGACACAGATAAGATGGACTTGCGTATTCACTGCAGCTATCCACTTTTGTCATTTAACTGAAGCAGTTGACTGACAAGGTGGTTCTTATTCGATGGAGAACCAGAGCGTGAACCAAACCGCACCTGAACCATGATCTTTGACCCAGGTGGAAACATCCACTGTATACACATGGACACTTGTTGAAAATCATCAGTTAGTTCGAGTGCAGACAGAGTGACGAATGTTCCGGATTCGTCTCCAAGGAAATGCTCGCCTGATTGCGTTCCAACGCACAGTGTGTCGGTTTTATTGATCGGTTTCCACAAACGATCAGCAAACCTTCAAGAACCCGAAATCACCTTTTCCTGAACTGGCGACAGCTACCTGGAAACCAACCAGAAGAAATTAAGGTGTGTTGCACTAGTCAAACCGACGCGTGCCTTTTGCTCACATCAAAGTTGACTGGGTGTAGCAACAGTTGGGACGGAGTGAACTGCACCATGCAGTCCGTGGCGAACAGATTATTTTGACCCGTATAAAAAAACGTCCACAGTCGCCATAAACTCAGTTTCCACTTAAACGATGCCATAAACACACAATCGCCCATTCGGCCAGACATGACGCACTGCGTCGGACAATTGTATCGAAGCAGCAAATGTGAAAGAACGCCTAAAATGGTCATACAGAATTACGTAAACGCGGTTTTTCCAACCAAGCAATGGCGTATTCTGACAGCCCGATAAAACACGCCCCACCGTTGACGGTTGTGCCGCTGATTATTAGGTGGTTCACCCGCATCTACCAGTCCGTGTTCTGCCAAATTTGTTCACACTACCCTCTAGATGCTGGCTGGCTGGTTTTGTCGTTTCTGCTGGTGTGGCCAGTGCTGGTGGTGGCCTGGTGCTGGTGCGTGCTTGTGTCCGTGTTGGTCCGACGGATGTGGTTGTATGTGGTTGATGCATGTTGGCACACGTTTCCACGCATGCGCTACATGTGCAAATGTGAGTCGTGTGTCTGTGATGTTGCACGCGTTTTTAGTTCTAATCTTGTTGCTGGATGTGGCACCTGGTCAGTTTTTCAGCGGAGAGTGGCGACTGTGTGGGCCCATCACTGACACCGGGACGTAAACCGGTGATGGATCATGTTGTGAGCGGCACAATCTGTCAAGACTGGTGCAGTGCATAGTGCTGTACACTATGCTGATGCTTGCGCTGGTGTTCCGGTTGTTGTGATGTCAGCGCAAGCATGAGTACCTTGATGCTGGTATGGACAAGATTGTCTGTGTTTTGCGGGTGTGCCGGTACAACCACATGTTGAAGTCTGGATGATGTTTATGTCAGTGCCGTTGTTTTTGTTGGTGATTGTGATCGTGACAGACATGGTTATTGTTGGTGGCATTCTAGATGTTCTGGATGGTTCGGACCAGGTGCGTCGGGTTCGCGTGACTGTCATCGCTCGGATACGTTCATGCTCGGTGTCATGCACCACTCGTAGTACTGGTGGAGTCTCTGCTGGCGCGGTTTCTGCTTCCGGTCATGTGTGATTTCATAAATTAAGTGGTACGTGGAACGATTGGAGTGGAAAGTGTGCATACGGAGCTGTTGCTGTTTGTTCCTAGACTTCTGCTCGCTCAAACTGTTTCAGCAATGCAGACATTTCTGCATGTCCGTAGCATAGTTCACAGTAGGCGCCATAATTCACGATTGTGGCCTTCTTCACGTCAGTTATGACGTTTCTGCCTGTTGACGGGAAACTTGCACGGTCACTGACCTGCATAATTTTACCAGTCAGTAAATATATGGCCTGAAGTACCATTTAAACCATGGTTGCTTACGGACTAGCCAGTCTGTATGCATTCACGGCTGTTGGTATGTCCACTGTGATGTACAACCTGGTTGTAAACGTTCTATCACCAGTCTGGGCGACAGTGTCAGTATTCTGAATGGAAGTGTGTGGGTGTTGCGTTTTTATAGATATACACAGCGTCTACTCACGGAAACCAGCCTTGTCTTACCACCAGTCACTGTCGGCTTACCGGTTGACCTGTCTCTTGATGGGTTGATGCTTGAGTGGCCTTCGAACTTGACCGTATCATTCTTCGTCCCGTGAATCATGTTGATTCCCTTCCACAAGGAGTCCTATTCAATGGCACGTTGGCCCACGGCCTAGTCTAAAGCAATGCCATGACTGAGTT